TATCAATTACTGACGATGGCACAGTGTTGTCGAAACGTCTGAACTGAAATACAAAAAGATTTAGATTTTAATTATAATTTTCGTTCGCAACTCTTGGCCATCAGACTTTATAAACATGTCTTACAATACTGAACAATAGTGCAAAGAATCAGCCTGCACTGGTGCTAGCATGTGAGTTTAAACAACCTCCCTGCAATGAATATGCTCAACACATGCCGATCACCCTTTCCAGACCGCACAAGCCGGCAGGCCAAACCGCCTCTAACTTACTGCATGGTCATCGAGACCCAGCGAACGAACATCGAGCCCATTAGCGGACGGTGTTCGGCGCCGAATGACGGTCTTTAGCGGCAATAATCACCGGCTGATTGACGATGACCGTGGGCTCGATCCGGAGCTGCGCCGGCCCGATGGTCGACGATAGTGGATTAACTGCTCCGGTTTATGGTCGGGCTGGAGGGTGCGCCTCCTCTACCCGCTTCTTCGTCCGTAGTCTGGGCGGCTGTACGATCTTCTGTCTGTCCGTCTGTCCTCCTGCCTGTCTGTCCGTCCATTCGACTGACCGCTCGACTGTCCGTCTGTCCAATGTCCAGCTGTTTGTCAGTTTATTCTTTCGCCCGCGCCTTGTCTCTGTTCGCCGGTTTTCCGCTCGTCCATCCGTCCTTTGACCGTTTCGTTTGTTCTAACTGCTCGCGCGGTCCACCTTGGTCTCGGGTCGGTCTCGGGTCAGTCGTCCAGTTTGATATAGGCCCGCCCATGGTCGGCACGTGTCGCTGACCCCTGGCCGGGCCCGGCGAACAATCCCGCATTGTCCCGCCCGTCCGTGGTCGTGGCTTCACCTCGCTTCGCCGGCGGTAGCCGCAGGAGCTCCATATTAGCGTGAACTGATAACGGCTCACGCTGCGCAGTCCAAATGACCCGTCGGCTTCTGGTCGCGGAGTCACGACTCGGCTGCCGACTCGGAGGAGCGGGCGACTCGCCGCCGAGTCTGTCTCGCCGCGGCTCGCTCGTGCCTGGCGCGCGGCCAGAGGCCGGCCGGCCGGCCGGCCGCGCCTTGGCTCCATAACTAATGACGGTAAATTTAATAAGGCTGATAGCATCTGGAGGCGCGGCGACCACCGGCCGGCGCGCTAATGAGTGGTGAGTAACGAGCAGCGGCGCGGACGCTCGGCGGCACAGCGTGCAGACCCGGCGGCGCCGGCGGCGACCCGACCGCGGTCAGCGGGCGGGGCGGCCGACAGCCGGTAATGTATGAGGCCTGGTTCATTGAGTCCGTGGTGACCCCATGCATGTGAGGACATTCACATTACGGAGGGGGACACTTTTCATCTGTCCGCAAGGAAATGGTATTGCTCCAGTTATATGGCTAGCTGTCAAGAACAGATATATGAACGGGCATTCACAATTCATTTAAGTTTTTTTTTTCATTCATGCCTTCGTCAGCCGATCGTCCTCTTGACCTGTCTTCTCCCTGTATTATCTTTATCTCTCCTCGTATTACAGCTCGGATTAATGAACCCTGGGCGGGCGCTCCTTATGGCCACTAATCGGAACAGCTTCGCGCACCAGATGCGACCCTAATCAGAGCAATTTGGCTAAAAGCTTAATTCAGCCAGTAGCAGTCGTATTATGCTGCTTCAGCGACTATTCTGCTCGATGTGCGTATTGATTACATCGGAGATGGTTGGTCAGAATGGAGCAGAACGTACTTATATGGTAATTGCTAGTAGCTACAGCCGTTGTCATCAACTGCAAAATCAACTTAGCTAATATTTCACACTGGAAATACGAGAAAATCCTAATAGTTGATTTCAACTCAAAGTAGGTAGTTATTTCCCTTTTTACAAGACATATGATCGCGAATTGTCATCAAAATGCCAATTATTTTGTTATTTTGCTTTCTTGAAGAAGACAACACTTTGTAGTTCATTATTTATAGAATGTCTGCTCTTCCACTGTTCCCGGGCAGGGCACATTAATGACGCAAAACGAGTAAACCTACCATAACATGCTAGCCAACATGATAGGACGAGCACCGAAATTTAGCGTTTCCTCCGAGCTACGAGGCGCAATTTGCCGGTCGGTAGATTGGAGGATGCATTAGTGAGTGAGCCGACCGGGCCCGGTCTGGACAGTAACACGGGGCTATTCGCCAGCCGCGGCGGCTTGCAAGCAATGTTGCTCTGTGTGGAAACAGACCGGAAATTGGACCATACATCAGATCGGCCGGCAACAAATTAGACAGGCCGCCCTGGGCGCGCCGGGGGATGGCGGTCCGACGGATCGACCCTGTTTGCTCCTCGTCGCTACTGCTGCTCTGAGCTGCGGCCTAATTACCGAATATTGGGAGAAGGAATGGTCGGATGCGAATTCTGGTAGCGAAGAATCGGCTGTTCGGGAGGGGGACTGGTGGCCGTGTGAATATTGCAGAACATTGGTTGGAGTAGGAGATGAGATACAGATCGAGCATTGTATTCCTCAATTTCATGCTACATAACGATGCTTGCCAGGCGCTCTAAGGGGTCTTCCAATGCGGTTTGCTCTGTGATATGAGCCGCGGATTTAGTCTGATTTTTGGTCTGATGTCCATCAGCTGAAATGATGACTGCAATATCTCCGCGTTGTGGGCTGGCTTATTCCGCCTGATTTCTGGTTTCCCGTCGTTAAACCACCCTGGTCCCAGGGCTGGGTAAATGAATGGCATCAGTCTGGGCTGCTAAGCTCTGCTATCACTGGTGGACTCGGGCTGGAAATTCTGGAAGGGTGCATGGAAATGAGTGGTTTATTTCTTCCCACATTTTTATATCTGCAACAATACTGTCACACATTTGTTTTGAAGAGTAAGGTATTTTGCGGGATATTCTGGTGCAACTTTATCTTTGATGCGCGTTTTTCTATACGTAATATTGTTATTGTCCGTTTTCACGACGGGTTACCTTGCGAATGCACAGTATAGCGGCGGAACACCTTCAATTAAGGTGGGGGGGAGGGCAATGCCGACTTTTGGTCCCATTCTTTCCATGCAACGCCCATAGGGCTAATGTTAAAATGCCAAAATCAAAGGGGGCACGGTGCACCGGTGCCCTCCCCGTTCCGCCGCCTATACGAAAGCACCAAACTTGACCAAATGTGCACCAAATTTCTTCAACAGCGAGTATTTTCTTTTCTTCATATCATGAATTTATTTTAATGTTTTAAACGAAGATTTCTGATAAAAAACAGGTATGTAAGCGACCGTCCAAGCCAAACTGAAAACTTCTAAGAAAGACATTGAACCTGTGTTTTGACCTGTGAACCTGTAAGTTTACAGGTTAACTTGATCTGTGGGAATAAGTTGACCAAATATGCACGTAATGTGCACCCAATTTGAACCAGATAGCCGTCGTGAAAACGGCTATTGCTGTTTCCGTAAAATCCAAAGTTATGCGCTAACGCAAATGTCTGAACCGTTTTAGGCACCCCTTCGTCCCATGTGCAGGAAATGTTTTCAATCCTTTTTTCTTCGCATGTCTAATTAATCGGATAAAGACAATTTGCGGAATCAGAATGTTCTGCTTTGCTAGCTCGCTCCATAGTTTGCCTATCAGTGTGCACTATTTGAAGGCTTATATGTACGTCTTCGACATCTATACCTGAAATCTATTTCTTAAATCTGATCAGCATCGATTAACCTACGATCCCAGACAAATTCCCAGACGAAAGGATACCGCGTGTGTTGTTTACAACCCGATTCCATTCATTATCCTCCGTGATGTGATTACCCCGTCCGCGAAAAAAATTGATTGGACGGCGACTAACCAATTGGGATTGAAACAGGGCGCTCCTTCACCAGCGTGGAGTCGCAATATGCCGAGTTTAGTCGGAACTAATTTTAGCTGTGCGAACATTTGTAGAGCTAGGTATATAGCCAAACATCAGTTATGCATTGATGAAATGAAATGCTTTTTTCTCTAGATGTTGCTGATGTAAACTGATATGATTTGTAACATGTATGTGCGAGTGATTAGTTCTTGTTAATTGTTTGCCGAATGCCGTGTTGTTACTTTCTTTTTGGTAGGCATTTACTTAGTTTAGGTACTTGTAGAATGTAGAGGCTCATAAACGATTGGGTCTACAACGCAGAGATCTTTTGTTCCGAGCTCATGGTGAATTAAGTGAAAATTGTGACTGTTGCCCTTCACCTCTGAGAAGTCATCCGGCTTCGTCATACCTACACCGAGTAGGTAGGTCCTGGAGACCTGGACTCTGATTAGCTCGCCCTGGGTCTCTTGTGTGGTTCCATTTCATGACCATGCTAATCTGCTAGGCTGATAAAGCACCACCCGCCGTCATTGAATCGTGAATCATGATTCCAGAATCCGGTCACCACATCCGCCCTGCCCCCACCTCGTCTCTCGCTCAGTGCCAATGCAACACCCCCTGGTGAATCAGCCTCCGCCTCCACCCTCCACCTCCAGCTCGCCCCGCCTTTTACTCCGAACCCTCCGAGCGTCACTGTCCGGTGCGCTACCGGCCGCGTCGACACGTCATCGGCGATGTCGGACCGTCATCCGTCACCGCCACGCCGGCGGGATGGTCCGGCCATTTCGGCCATTACGAATTCCATCCATCACCTGGCGGCGCGTCACACCGGCGGTCACAGCTCGTCACGGCGGCGTCACGGCAGGAAATGACTCATAATCGGCGCCGGCCGCAGCTCCTATCCGATGTCGGCGATGGCCGGCCCGGAAGGGGACGGCGCACGGCGCGGCGGGGCGGGGTGCGCCGCCGACCCGCTCCGCTGCACCCCGGGTAGCGCGCCGTGACAGGTGGCGCCTCTAGCGGCCATGTACGGCAGCGGCACACTGTCGACCAATAGGAGCCCTGTTGCGGCGGTGCCCGAGCCCGGAGGGGCCCGCTCCTGACTCCGCTATTGGGCGGTGCCGACCGCAGCCGGCTGATTAATTGGCATAATTAGTGGGGAACATCCGTGTGACAGATACGAACTCACACCGCTGCGGTACCTGCGGGCTGGTTTTATTGCCGCAATGGAACAGCCGAGTTGTGATGGAGTGCGCGGCGCTCAGGTCTCATCGGTTACACAGTGCGTGAGAAGCGGACAGATCGGTCACAGCGGCGCGGGAGGCCCTGCCGGAAGGCGCCAGGTGACAGGCACCCACCCCTCGAGGACTGCCGGCCTCGAGATGCGATGTCACACATGCTGGGCTCCCACACTTATCTCCCCTCCCACCGACACTGACACCGTCTCGGCGCCGACCGAGACCGTCCGAAAGAACTTATATGATGGGGTACACACAGTCGGAGGCAATGCCGCACATGTTGTTGGCGTTCCTGGCCATCTTGAAGAAGCCATCCATGCCCCATTCGGCGCCCCACGAGTTCTTGACGAGCCAGAAGTCGCCTTCGGCATCGGTGCCGTAGCCGACAGCCAGCACGCCGTGGTCGAGCTCGGAGATCGCGGTGCCGCAGTTGGCGTTGCTGTAGATGCCGCTCGAGTACAGCTGGAAGTCGAGGTGCGACGCGTCCATGCCGACGGCGACCGGGCCGACGTTGCCGACGGCGTCGAGCAGCTTGCTCTCATCGTCAGTCTGGATGATGACAAAGTCAGTGCAGTCGGCCACCGACTTGGCCGGGTCGTAGTTGCAGCGGTTGTGGTGCGTGCGCGCCTCGTACGGGTAGTCGGCCTCGGACATGATGCCGCCGATGTCGGTCAGGTACTCGAACGAGTAGCGCATCTCGCCGCCGTTGCAGGCGTTGTTTCCGTAGGAGAAGCTGCAGTCCATGAGCTGCTGCTCGGAGAGCGACACCAGGTCGTTGCCGGCCAGCTTCCACATGCCCTCCAGGGAGCCGGTGGTGGAGAAGGACCAGCACGAGCCGCACTGGCCCTGGTCCTTGGCGGGCGTGACGGCGCCCTGGTCGCGCCAGTCGATGCTCTCGGGGGCGGTCAGGCCGGTGCCGACGAACGGACGGCCGTGCTGCTGCTGCTGCCGGTGCAGCCCGGCCGGCTTACGGCTGACGGAGGGAGGGGTGGGTCGGTCAGCGTGCGCGAGAGGTGACCTGAGAGGAGGGCGGAGGTGACCTGAGAGGAGGGCGGCTCGGGTGCTTAGGGAAAGGATGCGGCACCGGGCACGGGTATCAAGGTAGCTCAGGGTGGGCAGAGGCTAGCCGCTAGATAGACATATACATAGGTGGCCCAGGAATGACTCAGGCCTCAGGGGTATAACGCAAAGTTTAGTCACACCCTAGAGAAAACCTTTAGCCGGAGATGTGAAGACGCAAAAGTGAAGCCTCGACATTGACGTATGCCTTGCCACCTTTGCTACTCGAGACCCCATCAATCAGTAATCAAGGCAGTGTTCTTTGCCTACTGAAGAACATTTGTCGCTCTTGTTAAATATTAAGTCTTGTTCCTTGCATATGCGTGCACACTGCACATTGCACGCGCATGGATTGTAAGAAAAAAAAAATAGTTACCGCGTATCCCTAACGGTATAAGGAAGGCTACTACTTTCAGTTTTATTAGCTTTGCCTAGTTATTTTTTCCCTATTAGATGAAGTTTCATTACGACAAGCTCAAATTAAATTACCGAAAATGAGTAGCTGAAGCCGACCATCCATGGAGGTCTAACCCAGGGCACTAAAACAATCGTCCGACCTCTGCGGTGCGCCCGCCTGGAGACCTCAGACCTGGAGCGTTTCACGTGCTTCGGCTAAGCAGAGCATGGCTCCGCCCCTTTCCTGGGGCGGACATCGCAGGAACAGCCGCGGGCGCCAGTGCGGCAGACCAATTTGTGAGAAAATTAGCATAGGCATGGCGGCCGGCCGTCACGGCCCGGTCTGCGGTTGGTGCTGGCCGCTGGCAGACCGCTCACCCCAGCCACTAATTCTGCCGCTAATTTTATCATGCACTTTTACGGCCGTGTTGCATGCAATATTGCAATGATCTGTCACCACACTGGAATTTATAGGTAAAACATCATTAGGCACCGTCAGATAAATAGCTAAAGAGTTTGTGCCCCGGTCATTAAAAAGCAGAGTTTCATGACCGTTAAAATCACTAAGCCTTGCGAGCATAATCAGCAGAGGACTTTGCCTGCTTGGGCGGGGAGTCTCGAGATGAAAATTACAGTAATTTGTGGTGCAACACTCTGGTAACTGCGTACGAGCATGGTGAAAACCAAAGGGATAGGCCGCTGGAACTCCGGTTCTCACCAAGCACTTTGTTAAGTTAAGTAGTACGTGCATGTTAATTTCGACTCGAAAAAAGAGGACTATTACAAGTACAATTCAAAGGCTGCGAATCGGTATGATCAATTGCTTCTGTGTTCGTGATAAAATGGCAATCGTGCGTCAACACCAACAAGAAGGCTTTCCATATTTGTTGCTATTCGTCTTCTTTTTCATCGACCTTCCTCTAGCTATGTAAAGGAAAAAACTCCTTTCATCCTTAAAACCGACTGCGTACACAAGCAAAACTTATGTTAAATACCTACTTGTTGGGAATATTCACTGTGATCGCCTGAGTTCTGACCGCCTGAGATAAATAAAATGTAAAATCGGGGTTGCCTGAAGGCAGAAGAGTAAAATAGCTGCAGAGTGTGTGCCGACCGGGCGGTCCCGTCAGCAGACGCTCCGTCAGACGCTCTGCCCTCAGACGCGCTGTCTGAGGGCACAGCAAGGCGAAGCAGCGTGCGTGCAAATGAGCTAATCCCGATCACATGTAGGCAGTTTTGGAGAATGCTTATTAGTTCTGCTTGGGCGGCTGAAAACCATATTTTTAATTGCACGAATCATTTTCCACTAAGTATGTCTGCTTGGCCAGTCCGAGTTGCTGAGAAACATCAGTTATATTGCCGATCCACCAGCGGTGCTCTATAATTATGTGAGCTGTGTAAAATCATCGATGGTATACTCCCAGCCACTAACAGCCCTGCAATAGAAGAAGATGGATCGATAATACTAGGCTACATGTGCAATAAATTTAACATCCTTTGCTCAAAGCTGGATGTAAATAGCCCAAACGAGCCGCAAAATGGCGTGATAAATCATAGCAGACATTACATTATTTACAGCAGTTTGTTTTTGGCGTGCGCTGCCTGCATGGACGCTTCCCAACACAGCTGCGGCGTTTATAGTTGCAATTAGGGCACGGCTCATGATATAGTAGTGTCCGTGCAATATCTACGATCACTGTCATTAAGCGGCTGAGCGTCCGTTGGAAAGCCATCACATTCGACGGCTACCTCCCACGTGGGTAGCGGCGCTATCGAGCCGCTGCTGGTGAGAGAAGGCCTCCCACCTCGCATCGGGCTCACCCCATACTAAATTAGTTCTGAGTAGGATGGAGCGACCCTACCTTACCACCCGCATTTGACAAGGGTGCTAGCTGGTATACTTCTTCTCCTTTTACTACAAGCATCTCTCATCCCCGACTTCTTGCGTACCAGCCTACAGTATTTCCATTTCCTCTTCCCCGTCATCAAGCATCCCTTCGGCTTCATCTATGCTCGATATCCCCCTGCAGCAGGTGTGAACACCCGTCGTGTTACCTACTGGGTCATGGGGACGTTTTCCTCCCGGTCGTCACCACCGTCCTCCGTCACTCACCGTGTCATCAGGGCGCTGAACTCCTCGTTGGTCATGTCGGCGTACTTGTTGATTCCCAGGCGGTACGTATGCAGACCGGCGTCGGCCTCCGCATTGTGCTTGTTGATGTACGCCTTGTTGGCCGCATACGTCTGCATGTGCTTCAGCTCGACAAACTGGTCGGCATAGTTCTTACCGTGGGCGCGCTTGAAGTTAGCCCACTCGTCGACGTCCACCCAGGTACCGAGGGCCGCCTGGGCCAGCGCCAGAACCAGGAGGACACGCATCGCCGACGGTCAAAGATGGCGCCCAGTCTGCCAGGGCAGCGGAAGTGACGTCAGAGCGATAAGGGAAGTTGTCATGGCTGCCAAATATGGAGGAGTTTGAGAATGTTTTATGGCCGACGCCCGATGACATGTGGGGTGATTGGAACGCGGCGATGGAGGCGTTGTTTACGCGGGGGCCGGCGGACGGTGGAAGGCTTGGGATAATTGGGTCTCGTTGTCGGCACCGGCACCTGGCTGTAACATTCTCGCGTCAGTCCACGACGGCAATAACGAACGCTAATCTGGGAAAAGGCAATTTGGCTACAAATGGGCAATTTGGCTACAAAATGTCACTAATCAGAAGCGGCGATCGAAAACAGGAAATTGGCGAAGAGTCCGACACACGTTCTGCGTTTAATGTCGGCGTGTTATGTCAGAGCTGCTCGACACAACATCGCTGCCCGAGACAGGTGAATGCGGCTGGTAATTTGTAGTCAATGATTTCGCCTTTAATGCGTTTCTCTCGGACACGCGGGCACAAAGCCGTGAGGGGATTACCTCGGTTTGGCGAGCGCCTTGTCGTGTACCTGTCCTGTTCCATCACCCCTGCAGCTGGATCGCGGACCGTGGGGCGGCGGGGACGGAGCAGAACCCTCGGCAGACCCGGTGCAGACCAGCCCTGATGATCGGATAGGAGGCGGGTGACCCACTGGGGCGCGTATCGGTGGGACATCGCCACACACACCTACCTGTCCGACAGGCCACAGACAGAAAACACGGCGCCCGCCGGCGTGAGCGGCCTTTATTCCCTCACTGTTATCGGCCCCATAGAGAGGCGATGGGAATCGCGGCCGCTGCCCGTGGCTCTGCGTCTGGCCTTGTTCATATCGCGTGTGACGGCTCCACCTGAGGGCAAACAGACCGACGTGCTGACTGCTGAGGTGGCTAGTCGGAAAAAGATGACGCAGATTGGCTTGCATTTTTATTTTTGTAAGTTTTGTCTCATATTAACGTGCTAGATAGGTGCTAAGTATAGAAGTAAAACCTAATTTCATATTCACCGGGATATGTAAATCAAAGCCATATGTTCCGCAATCATATTTCCAGTTAAAATGAATGAATCTCATTTTGTGAGACACCTACGATTCGGTTCTAATTAAAGGTGATGATAATAAATTATGGCCCGTAGTCATCACGGGATCAGAGCCATGGGAGGTCCTCGTTACTATGTACATATATCAGATGGATTGATGCGCGATGCATACATATCGGTGCGCCGCAAAAATCGGCACGGCGCTGATAAGGCGGCGATGTTCATCGGCCGAATGTGCCCGTGCATGGCTGGACTGACCGCCCTGATGACGGAGGTAACGAAGCGAAAATGACGCTCAGGAAAGTAACGAGGTGTGCGTCGCAGCGATACGTTTGAAACTCAGCCATCCGTGTGCTGTGTTAGTCTCGAGAGTAACAAGAAAATAATTGTTCAGACTTCAGAAGACGAGCTCCGGACTCAACTGAATCGCTACAAAAAAGTACAACACTCGACCCTGCGTGGTTCTGTCGGTTTATCAGTGGCACCAGGCGGTGTTGATGTAAGTACAAACAATACAGTTTCTAACATTATTTCAGTTTTTCTCTGCTATTTACCTTCTTTCTCTTGGAAGCTTGCCACTTGCCGCACTACTTGTTCCAAACGTCCCTCCCAGCTACGTATGACAATGCATATGCTCAAGTCTACTGATAATTAACCATTAACGTATATCGTTTATATATGATAAGCAGACACCGTCTCACCTCAGCTGCCCAGCTGGCTGTGCCCGGTGAACCCGCTCCTCCGAGCCGCACCCCGGTCCGAGGGTCCGGTGATGGTCATCTGGGCCCATCTGTCTCCCTCCATCGGGCGGTATGCGGCCCGCGCGATATCCCGAGTGCCGCGCACCGTTTACTGCCGCTTTGCATGGCTGATTTATGCACATCTGCAAACAAAACGTGGCGTGGCAATAGCTCATGGGTGCTGACAGTGCGGGACATGGCGAGCCTTTACGAGCCGCCCAGGCCCGTGCTAAGGCTCCTCGCTAATATGAGGGTATATCAAAGGTCACCGCACGGCCCAATATGGGGTCAGTTGCACGCACGCACATCCTAAGGGTTTATGCTTCCTTGCGAGAAATTTGCGATCTACTTTCCAGTTTGAAATTTGAAGGCATAATTTTGTGTGTACCATGCATTGCACAGATCATATAAATGATCTTGGCTTATCTACTGCCCATTTGCTGTTGGACACAGGTTATTGCTAACTATTATAAGAGCTCGGAATATATATTTTCACATCTTCGAAAAAAAAACTGTATTTATTGTATAATAATTGCTTAGAAGTCACCTAATCCCATACTAAACACGGAATCAGGCTCAAGTTGGTCCTATACGTCGAGTCGTGCTTCCAGGGATGATTTTGAACGCCCTTGGAAGACAAGCCTTGAACGCGAACCAGCCGGCCTACTATCGGTCACGAATGAGTCTTATTTGGATCGTGCGCGATCACCAAACGAACCGACTCGAAGCGTGTCTCGGTCATGGTCAAACGACATCCGTCCCAGCTGCATCAGGGGAGCTCCGGGCGTGACTGCAGCTCGCTACGGCCAAGGTCCTTCTCCGTGTGCACGAGCAGTGCAGACAGTGCTCCGTGGGCGTGGTCCATCCGCCTCAGCGCGTCTCGCTTGTCCGACCTCCTAAACGACCGAGCCCGGTATTTGAAACTGCCCCCGTCCATCACACCTTGTTATCTTAATTTGTCCAGCGAGCGCCGGCGGCCGGTGTCGCGGCTGCGTGGGATCGTTTATGGGCAGGCGGTACATGACATCAGCGTGCAGTTATTGTCTCTTGCTGCATCTCGCGGAGGTCGCGTCTTCCTGCCTCATCCGCGCTACCCACCGCGCCGTGGCGCTAGCACGTGGGCCTCGTTTGCCAACCTTGCAGTCCATTATTATTCGTAATATGTGGCCTGAAAATATGATGGACGAGGCGCATAAATCAGCGACGGGACGCACTTTCAGTGCCGCCGGTCGATCACAGCACGGCGAGTACACAGCGCGCCAGCTCGATTAGGGGCCTTCACGAGCTCAGGTGACGGGAGGATGTGAAAGAGGAGGGGGTAGGTGACAAGGGGTTAGGAAGGGGCAAAAACCAGCAGGAACAGTTAAAAGTATTGATGAATAAATAATTGCACGATGTGTCATCTGGTGTTGTTATTCATTTTGCATTCATGTTGAAAACTCCCTTACGTACGGATTCAACTCGCAACTTTTGGTTGTCTATATGTAGTTCATACCTTGAATCTAAGAGTCCGTAGAAACCTCTGCATTCATGCACAACGCCGAACGTGACCTTTTGTGAACCATTCCTTCCACTTGACTGCGAGCTGGTTCCCAGCTGGCCTGAGCCGTCCGTCCTTGGTCCGGCCCGAGAGTTCACGCTCCGCCGTTCACCAGTGACCGGTGGCGCTCACGCCGCCGGACCGTGAGTGGCCTCATTAGTCGTCAATGCCGGTGCCGGCGCGCGTGACTCCCGCGCGCCGCTGGGGGCTCGTTACTGACCACTGACCCCCCCCCCCCGCCGCCGCTGCCGACGGTGGCGACGTCAGCGGTCACCATTGTGCCGGCCGCGCGTGAAGATCATGCCTGACTTGGCCGAACTGGAGGGCACTGTAGCGTGCGGCGCGGGGCCGGACACAAGGAGCTGCGACACTTCAGGGTCGTGCGCGGCGGCCCCGCCCCGACCGCAGCTCCTCTGTGCAGCTCTTGTGACGCGCTCGCGGCAATGAGTGCCGCATAAGACAGACGCGCCGCTGTTTGTCGCTGGTCCTCCACCACCGCCGCGCCTAGAGAGGCTCTCGGCGCACGACAGCGGCACAAACACAGTGCCGGAGACAAACAGCGGCGCGGCAGGCAAATACGGCGCGCCGGACGGCGGCTGCAGCGCGACGAGTGACGGCGCGGCGGCGACGAACCGGCCACAGCCGGCGCTGCGGACGAACGCCGCGCGATGGAGACGGCGGCGACGCAGCTGCCCGTCTGGGTGGCCGTCCTGTGACACCCGTCCGCCGCGCCGACCGGTCCTCTGAGCTGAGCCGGTGAGGCGGAGGACAGCGCGGATGTCAGAGGATGTCCTGTGTGTCGGATCACCGAGGGTTGGAGCGTCGTCCTCTGACACACCGGCGTTCCCCGGCTGCTGAGAGGAGCGCGCGGGTGGCCGTGGAGGGGAATGACGGGCCCGACGGGCGCACAATCACTGGCCGCTCGGGCGGAGAGGGCGGTGGGCTGGCCAGCGCGCTCAGTGAGCCGGACAGAGAGCCGATCGGACGTGCCCCTCTGGCCTCTGTGCCAGCATGTCGGTCCGGACTACTGCCTACAGGCGTCCGGCGGCACGGGCCGCTGCCTCTGCTTGTCACAGGTGATGGAGCAGCCCGCTCCCGGACCGTCCGCCGCCGAGCGATCACCTCTTCCGGCCGGCATTCCCGCTCCTGACGCCGCGAGCCCCTCCTCTCGGCCCGGTGAGCCGCGCCGGCTGACCTCCACCCTCTCCGCCGGCGGCCGCCGACTCGACTCCGCTCCCTGGCCGCCGCCGCCGGTGACAGCCGCGATGACCGATGTGCGCCCGATGGCTCGGTTAGCACCCCAGCTCCCCGCCGTGCGCCCAAGCACTCATCGCTCGCGGCCAATCTGCATAGAGGCAGCGCACACGCGCGCAGCCTGCGAGGCGACTATTTACAATACGAGCGAATGACTAGCGCCTATGTGTGCCCGGGATAAATAGGGCTGGGAGATTAGAGAACAATGCGCTATTTTGCATTAGCAAATAGCACGGTCATCGTGCCATTCAATGGGCAATTTTTGTCCTTGGAAGGGGCGAGTATTGCCCTGTCATTGCGCGCGCCGGGCATTCATCCAGTGCGTGGCTGGCGGAGATTGTTTCTCTCTCGGTTGATGAGATTCGCTGTGGCCCTGGGGCTCAGCGCAGTCACCTGTTCATGTGGCAAACGAGATTTGAGATTGTTGGAGAAAGTCCTCGCCGGTATACAAAGGTCAGGCTGACAAACAAAGGCAGCATGCGTGGGATGACTTGCATTCGTTATTTTTTAGAATGTGCACTTTGTGCATAGATATATTTTAAACAAACATGTATTTATTATGCACTGCGGAGAAGTCAAGGGACAAGGAAGGGTGGCCGAGAGAGAGAGAGAGAGAGAGAGAGAGAGAGAGAGAGAGAGAGAGAGAGAGAGAGAGAGAGAGAGAGAGAGAGAGAGAGAGAGAGAGAGAGAGAGAGGGAGAGGTAGGAGGGAGGAAGAGAGGGAGAGGGAAAGAGAGAGCTGGAGAGTAGAGAAAGAGGAAGTGTGCGAGAGTGGGTGAGCACACAGACCACTCGCTCACTGAGTGGAGATGTGAGTAAATAACCAGAAGAGCGACGACAATCAAACGGAAGCTGTTCAAACAGTATGAGTGCCGAAGCCACCAGGGTTCTTCAGTTTCACGACGGCAAACACCCGTCGAGTCGGACAGTGGCGTACCAGCCCACCCTCCGGGCCATCCCCGGCAGAGCGTGCCGTGCCGGTGGGGCCTTCCGCCGCGCGCCGGTATAGAGCGAGCCGAGAGGGCCTTCCGCTGGCAGAGAGCGGATATGAAACTCTACTCGGCGCCGGCGTGGCGAATTTCCGGCCACCTCCATCAATCCGAGATACCGGCGCCATCCGGCCGGACGCTGCCCGCGCTCCCAGGACCCGAGCACTGAGAGTGCGGGCCTCGTCCGGCTGAGGCTGACCTCACCTCACCCCTGCCGGAGCTGCGCGCCGCTCGGGAATGACTCAGTCTCTCAGGCC